GGTTTTGCCATCAGCTTCAGGTTCATATACCATGTATTGTGATGCTTCGAGAGTGGGTATTGGTTGTGTTTTGATGTACGCGGGTAGAGTTATTTCTTATGCTTCTCGTCAGTTAAAGCCCCATGAGAAGAACTACTTCGTTCATGATTTGGAGTTGGCTGCCATAGTTCACGCGTTGAAGATTTGGAGGCATTACTTGTACAATGTGTCTTGTAAGGTGTTTACTGATCATCGTAGCCTCCAGCACTTGTTCAAGCAGAAGGATCTCAATTTGATGCAACAGAGGTAGTTGGAGTTGCTTAAGGATTATGATATCACTATATTATACCATCCGGGGAAGGCCAATGTGGTGGCCGACGCTTTGAGCCAAAAGGCGGTGAGTATGGGGAGTCTGGCATACATTCCAGTTGGGGAGAGACCTCTTGCAGTTGATGTTCAGACCTTGGCCAATCGGTTCGTGAGGTTGGATGTTTTGGAGCTTAGTCGGGTATTGGCTTGCGTGGTTTCTCGGTCTTCGTTATATGATCGCATCAGAGAGCGCCAATATGATGATCCACATTTGCTTGTCCTTAAGGACAAAGTTCAGCATGATGATGCCAGAGATGTGACCATTGGTGATGATGGGGTGTTGAGGATACATGGCCAGATTTGCGTGACCGATGTAGATGGGCTTCGGGAGTTGATTCTGGAGGAGGCCCATAGCTCGTGGTATTCCATTCATCCGGGTGCCGCGAAGATGTATCAGGATTTGAGGTAGCACTATTGGTGGAGAAAAATGAAGAAAGATATTGTGGGATTTGTAGCTCGGTGTCTCAATTGTCAGCAGGTAAAATATGAGCATCAGAGACCGGGAAGCTTGCTTCAGCAGATGGATATTCCCCAGTGGGAGTGGGAGAGGATCACTATGGACTTTGTTGTTGGACTTCCACAGACTTTGAGAAGTTCGATGCTATTTGGGTGATTGTGGATCGGCTGACCAAGTCTGCGCACTTCATTCCTGTGTGTACTACCTATTCTTTAGAGCGGTTGGCAGAGATCTATATCCGGGAGATTGTTCATTTGCATGGTGTCCCAGTTTCCATCATTTCAGATAGGGGCACTCAGTTTACTTTGCTGTTTTAGAGGTTTGGACAGTGAGAGTTGGGTACTCAGGTTGAGTTGAGCATAGATTTTCACCCTCAGACGGACGGGCAGTCCGAGCGCACTATTCAGATATTGGAGGACATGTTGTGTGCTTGTGTCATTGATTTCGGAGAGTCATGGGATCAGTTTTTACCACTTACAGAGTTTGCTTATAACAATAGCTACTAGTTGAGTATTCAGATGGCTCCATATGAGACTTTGTATGGGAGGCGGTGTATATCTCTAGTTGGTTAGTTCGAGCCCGGTGAGGCTAGGCTATTGGGGACAGACTTGGTGCAGTATGCTTTAGAAAAGGTGAAGGTAATTCAGGAGAGGCTTCGTACAGCGCAGTCGAGGTAGAAGAGCTATGCTGATAGGAAAGTTCGGGATGTGTCCTACATGGTTGGCGAGAAGGTTCTGTTGAAGGTTTTACCCATGAAGGGTATTATGAGATTTGGAAGAAAGAGAAATTGAGTCCTCGGTTCATTGGGCCTTTTGAGGTGCTTCGGAGGATTGGGGAGGTGACTTATGAGCTTGTTCTGCCACCCAGCTTATCAAGTGTGCATCCGGTATTTCATGTTTCTATGCTCCGGAAGTATATTGGGGATCCGTCTCATGTTTTGGATTTCAGCAAGGTTTAGTTGGATGATGATTTGACTTATAATGTAGAGCGAGTAGCTATTTTGGGTCATCAGGTCTAAAAGTTGAGGTCAAAGGATATAGCTAGTAAAAGCACAGTGGGGAGGTCGGCCCGTGGAGGAGGCTACCTAGGAGACCGAGCGGGAGATGCGGAGCAGATACCCTCACCTGTTTGAGGCTTCAGGTATGTTTCTTGACTCATTCGAGGACGAACATTTGTTTAAGTTGGGTAGGATGTGACGACCCGGCCAGTCGTCTCATGAGTTACCGCTCCGTTTTCCCCATTTCTGCTTCTTAATGCTTTGTTTATCCGTGTTATGTGGTCTCGGGCTGGTCGGATCGAATCCGGAATGATTTTGGTAAGGTTTGAGACACTTAGTCTCTTTTGAGGAAGCTTAAGTTGGAAAAGTCAACTGAATGTTGGCTTATATGTTAGAGGGCTCGGATGTGAGTTCCGATGGTTTGAATAGCTTCGGGAGGTGATTTGGGACTTAGGAGCGCGATCAGAATGAGTTTTGGAGGTTTGGTGTAGAATTAGGCTTGAATTGGCGAAGTTGGCATTTTTGGCGATTTCCGGTAGATAGGTGAGATTTTGCTATAGGGTTCGGAATGGAATTCCGAGAGTTGCAGTAGTACCGTTGTGTCATTTGGGATGTGTGTGCAAAATTTCAAGTCATTCGGACGTGATTTGGTTGGGTTTTTTATCAAAAGCGGAATTCAAAAGATTTTGGAAACTTAGGATTGAATCCGATGTGTTTTGATTGATTTGATGTTATTTGAGGTGTTTGGAAGATTGGTACGAGTTTGAATAAGGTTTTGGGATATGTTGGTGCCTTTGGTTGAGGTTCCGGGGGCATCGGGGTGATTTCGGATGGTTGACGGGGAATTTGAAACTTTGTTGCAGCTGCTGAATTTGCTGCTTCTGGTATTTCCGCACCTGCGGATTGGGGAACGCAGGTGCGATAAGGGAGGTCACGGAAGCAGAAATGCCTGGGAAGGTAGGGACCGCAGATGCAGTTGATGGACCACACATGCGAAGGCACAGGTGCAGAATGTTGATCGCAGGAGCGGTTTTGGCCGTTAAGTGAAGAACCGCAGAAGCGCTTAGTTGGCCGCATATGCGGTACTGCAGAAGTGATGAATAGAGCCTCAGATGCGAAAATGCCTGCGCAGAAGGTATAAATTGTAGCCTTCGCGAATTTTACCTAATTTCACCATTTTTATCTCGGCTTTGGAGCTTTTTGGACGATTTGAAAGAGGGATTCCAAGGGAACTTCATTGAGGTAAGCAATTTGGACCTAAAACTCGTTCAAATGCCATTATTTCACGGATTAGAGCTAGAAATTATGGAAATTAAGAGTGAAAATTGGGAAAATTAGGGCTTTGAAACTTAGACATTTGCTTGAGGATTTGAAGAACCATTTGAGGTCGGATTTCAGAACTTTTGATATGTATGAACTCGTGAGGAGATGAGGAATCTATTGATGTAAAAATTATCGAATTCTGAGACGTGCGTCCGGGGGTCGAGTTTTGGTAATTTTGGAATTTTTGGTATTATTTGATTGTTTTCGTTTGGGCTTCGTTCCCTTAGCATATTTTGACGTTGTGATTCTGTTTTTGGATAGATTCGACGCGAGTGGAGGCCGATTCGAGGGGCAAAGGCATCGTGGAGTAGTATTTTCACCGATTTGAGGTAAGTAACCATTGTAAATCTGGAACTGAGGGTACAAACCCGGTATTTGACTTGTTTTGATAAATGCGGTGACGCACATGCTAGGTGACGAGCGCGTGGGCGTGCACAGGTAGGGATTGTGACTTGGTCCGTCTCGTAGCAACTATTAAGTCGCGTATTTGATTTGGAATCTTATATTATTCCATACTTTAGTCATTTATATTGTATTATGGGTTGTACGTCATGTTTGGGGCTTTGTGTCGACCTGTTGAGACCCTTAGGGGCATTTTTACTGTTTTTCCTCAGTCTACTTGTTGAAAGCATATCCTCAGTCATGTTTTACCTATTTAAATATTTAAAACTAGTTTTATCACTCCACTTTTTATTGTGAGGACTGTTAGGCTGAGTTCCCTAATTTCTATCGTTGTGCCCGAGAGGCTGTGAGGTTAATGACTGAAAGAGGTTGAGAACCTAATAGTGAGGATATTATATGTATATATTATGGATCGGGCTGCATGCCGCATCGTTACTTATATGGATCGAGCTGCACACCACAACGATATATATATTGGATCGGGCTGAACGCCGCAACAATATATGTATTGGATCGGGCTGCGCGCCGCAGCGATATGACGCTTGGGCTGTAGGAGCCCTTCTGGAGTCTGTACACCCCCAGTGAGCGTAGTCGACTATAAATTATGAATCGGGCTACACGCCAAAGCGGTTACTACGATTTCTATTATTATGAGATATTAATGAGTCGAGTGCTGAAAGTGAGTATAGAGTGACGGGAGTTGAGTCATGAGTGACTGAGAGGCTGCCCGGGGGGCCATATTCTGAGTGATTCCTTGCCCGAGGGGCCCAATTATGATGTTTTCATTGATTTCACTCTTCTTTTAAATAAGACTCGGTTGGAAATATTGCTAAGTATATGATTTTAAGTGTTTTAAATTGAAAATATTGATTTTATGACGAAACTTGTTTTAAACTCTAAAGTTGATCCGTTATTATGTTGTTTATTCAGTTATATGATTTTTAACTGCTCGTCACTGCTTTCAGTCCTTATTTACTTTAGTTACTTACTGAGTTGGCGTACTCACGTTACTCTCTGCACCTTGTGTGCAGATCCAGGTGCCCGAGCGGCCGAGTGAGAGTCTTCAGTTGATCCAGTGTTTGACGGAGATTTCAAAGTAGCTGCATGGCGTCCGCAACCCTGTTTTCTCCTCCCTATCTTGTTATTTTTCCGCATTTTCGAGACTTATGATGTAGTAGATATTCAGACATGTACTAGAGGCTCTAGACTCGTGACACCAGATTATAGGGCTGTGTAGTTTCCAGTTTATTTGACTTCCACATATTTTCTGTTGCTTTAAACGTTTATAATGAAATTTGGTATTTTAAACATGTGTTAGAAAATGGCTTATTGTTAAAGGGAAAAAGGGTCGTGATTCTTCGATTGGTTGGCTTGCCTAGTAATGTGATAGGCGCCATCACGACTGATATTTGGGGTCGTGACATCACAAATACTACATGTAGCTTTCTTGATTTCTTTCTCAGCCACAACATCCTTTTCTCACCGCATAATCTTATCGCTTACCTGAGGCCCCGAGTCTGCTCATCTTTCTTCATTCTCGGTTCTTCATTCTCGGTTTTCCCTCTCTTTGGTCTTGCTTACTGATTTTTCTTTGGAATTTCACTCCCAATACAGAACAATTTATATCTCTTGTGCTCAACCCAAAGTCAATGTTTATTTGATTTCAACTCAATTGAATTCTTAGATTTTCTTACTGTACCAAATTGATTAGTATTCTGTTCAATTATTTCAGAGTTTCGTTATGGAAAGCGTGGAGAAAACCATGAAAGGACCAATTTTATTGCGAATCTAGATGTCATAGGGTTATCAGTTATCATGGGATGTTACAGGGCATGTGCTTGAAGGCGCCTTCAGCCATTTTTGTAAAAATATCATTGTTAGGTTTGTACTTTTTCATATTTAAGTTTTTCTTCTAATTTATACAGAATTTTGTGATTCTTAGGGATTCAATATGTTTGCATGTATAGCTTTGCGTTGAATGCAAAGAAATCCAAACTATTAAAAGTCATAGTGGGTTGATTCAGATCTTTGATAATGTCTTGGTCCTCTTGGCCGAATATTTTTTTATGTCTACTCATTGTTTTGAACCTTATAGTCTTTCTGATTTTGTGCTTTTTACTTTTTCTGGCTTTTTGAATACGTTTGAAAATAACTAAATTACAATTGAGTTGTTCACTTCATGCTTGGGTCAATGTAATTCATATTTTTCTGATATGTCGAAGAAACAAAGTGTGAAATAGCATTTTCTTAGTACCTACTAAGTTTCAAAAAATTTCCTAACCGAATGAAACGACCCCTAAGGTGTTCCATGAAAGTCCTTAGGGCCCTTCTTTTAATGAACACAAGCTTCAATAATCTATGACAGTCTTCTTTATATAAACGATCCATGATAGTCTTTTATAAAAATTGGTTTGCTTCGTCTCTATAACTTAAGATTTTAATGTAAAAGCTAAAATAAAATAAGAAAGACCAGGTTGATATGAATAAAATTAAAATTAATACTTTCAATTCTTTGGTTATGAGATGTGAGGAACTGATATTATAGAGTAAATGATGAGGAAAGAGAGTAAAAGAAGAACGAAAAGGACAAAGAAACTAAGGAAAGTGTTTTATTTTAGATCTAAAAAGGTCAAGCCACTGATAGTCACAACACTTTCACTACCTACAAAGTCTGCATTATTATTGGATGAACTGTGAACTATATCCACCATTAAAAAGATACAACCTCAAGGTCTCCATGTGAGAAGGACAATCACTTTTTTTCCCTTCATATTTTGTTTCATTTATATATCGTGGCCCTTGTCACTCCTAAATATGAGCACTGGACCAAATGTTTATATTCATAGTTAGGTGAATGAAAAACTTGATAATGTCAATGATAACTATAATTCCTATTAGCTTCTTAAAAGCAAAAAATAAAAGAAACATATGCCGAGTATAATAAAAACACAGCAAAACTGAGGAAAGTTGTCTTTAGTGGGTTTGATTCTTGCTACACGAAATGCTTTTACTTGCAAATCAAACAATGTGGCGATTGAAAATGCACTACCTTTTTGTTTTTTGAATATGGTATATGCTTTTAGCGTTAGCGTAGCTTTTGAGAATGAATTTTCATATGCAGTTTCCAAAGGCCTAAGAGTGCTATCATGTTGAAAGATGTTAGGAATGGTTTTCTATTTGGTAGACTCCCGAGCACCAACAGGTAATGGCAAATAGAAACACCGGTTAGCTTTGTGATTCGAATTCAATTTTAGTTTACTTTTCAGTTTGGTAATTATCGCATGTTTTTAGAACGAAAAAAAAAGGGATTTTAGGCGGTGGCCATTAGTTTGGTCATCAAAATACCATCTTTAAGTGTAAGCTAGTCTATTCTACTTACCTTCTAAAAGAGAGTGTAAAATAGTTCATAATAACATGGTTTCTAGCGAGCATATTTAACTCAATCGCATTTTTTTTGCAAAATTCATTAATAATTTTGAGTTCCAAAACTACATCCATGTACATGTTACTAGAATATTTTTCAAATCAAAAGCTATTGTTTTCTCTTTCTTCTTGACTATTTCCTTTAAAATTTAAAGGCCACGAAAATCTTCAGTTTTCGTCTTAGAAGCCCTAATAAGCACTTTGAATGATTTAAAATACTATATGATCGTTGTGCTTGTTATTTATTTATACTTATCTGTTATTCTGGTTATTTGATCTTGCCTATGCACAAAATACCTTTAGTTTTCGAAATGTTAAGCTTTTATGGTTTCTAATAGACTTTGTCATTATTTGGGTTCATATTTGAGAAGGAAAGGGAAAAGGTGTAAAGTCTTTCAGTTGGTTATAAACTTTGTGAGCAATTCTATTGAGCTTTAAGTGTGTGTTGAGCAAACCATTTGCTAAATTGCAATCTAAAAATGAAAAAGTAGAAGGAAATCTTGCAAGATGCCACCAGAGAGCTTCAGAGCACTCCATTATATTGTATAACGTGGAGTCACTTCTAGCAACTTGGCATTGCAATTTTGCTTCTAAGAGTTTTTATGTTCAATTTATTTATTTCCATCATATTTATGACCATACATAGATGAAAATTGATCATTCAACATGTGTATCTTTCCAGTTAGCGAGGTTAGCATTCTACCTACATGCAGATAATTAGAGGTTCCTAAATTCATCCAAGTATGTATAACAAATATAACAGGTTGCATATTTGATTTTTTATAAAGTTATAGTGCTCTTCAGAGAATAATTCTGCTTTATAAGTATGTTTCAAATGTTTTCTTCTTCAATATATAATCGATAGGTACCAAGCTACAGTCTTACGATTTAGTACGTACTACTGAAATTTGACAATCTTAAGAACACATTCTGAGGAGGAAAAAGAGCTTGGAGGCAGAAGATGATGATAGATGAAATTCAGTAGCCCTGCCAAAAGATAAGTTTTAAATGCTTTTTTGGATGATAGATAAAAGATGACTCGATAATTTCAACTGATGTCTACATTTCAGGGAAATAATCTGCATGAAAGAATTAGACCAAGTGAGATGCGTCGTAACATAAAAGGAAGCAACATATTGGTGGAAGTGCTTGATGCCAAGGTCTCAGGATTCAGGCTTATAAAGGCCTCTTGAGAACAATATCCATTCAAAGTTGGATGAAAGGCAATTTGAATATTTTTATACCTTGATGTTACATGAGTTATCCAGCAATGGCATGTAGTATTGTTTATATTTGATTTGATAATAACTTACATGTACTAACTTTTAGTATTTTCAATTTCATATTAAAATAAGGTTGATAAAAATTATTGTTTCAACTTTTACAATATTGGGCCAGTGTTAGACACCGGCCATCTTAACTTTTACAAGTGAATACAAGCTGATGAGTTCATTAACTCGAAATAAACTTTTGCTCTACTATTGTATTATCTTAGGAGGGTGTAACAACTTGAAATAACCAATTCGCACACAAGTAAATTCACTTGTAGTGTTGCCCTTACTAAACAGAATTACAAGGAATATTAATTGAAATGATATAGAAGAACTGATAAGAAGAAAGAGGTGAGAAACAGAGACCAATAAAGAAGGGGGACGAGGAAATCAGTGATACAGAGCAGAGAAGAGAGAGCGCGTGGTTAGGAAGATTGGCCGCAATCTGAGCGGTACCACCCACCCTATCCTACCACCTATAGGCGGCCGTCCTACAGCCGCCCCAAAAGGAACTGCAGTGAACATATTCAACATCACAATTCACATAATCCTTCTTACTAACCTCTTGTCCCTTTTAATCATTTTCTAATGGGTCTGGATCCCAAATAAAACTCTCTAATATTTTACTCAGCCCAATAATCTCAATTGATTCAGCCTTATTTACTTCTTCTAGCCCATACACTCTTACGGAGTTAGCTTGGTTCACATCAGAGGGCCTTCATATACTCCTCATCATTATCAATATTTTTTAACCAAGGACTTATTTATTTCACATATAATCATGACCATGCAGGCTGTCAAATTGCTAAGGCAGTAATTCTTACGGTTAATTCAACTAAATTATTGTTTTTATCTCGAAGGGACTATACGTACAAAAACTTAAAGTATATAACATAATAAAATTACACTCACTTTGAATCTATCGATTTATCTTACTTTCGCTTATGTTATAATCAGTTAGTGCCTAGGTATTCACCCTAAATCTTTCCCCTTTGAACCTCGCCCTCTCGTCATGTTCGCTGACAACCTGTTTTCTATTTCCCGAGCATTAAGTAGAAGAAGAGGAATCAAGTCATGCATTCAAAAGTACAATCCTTGCTGATTGTCTGCCGAGGCGGCCCTTCCCAAAGCAGGTAAAGCAACTGCTTTAGGCCCTACATTTGTGAGGGGCCACTTATTTGTTAAATCTATTAAGCTATATACTTCTATAAGGTTTTTAAAAAAAAATCCGAAGTGAAGATTTAATTTTCTTCTTTAACAAATTTAGAGAAGAATAATTTCTAACTGCTATGATTTGTTGGGACCCCTTTTTTTGTTATGATAACTCTTGTTATCGTTGAAAGAAGTTTTCTAAAATTAAAATTGACAAAATTTTACCTAAAATCAATAATGCCTCAGAAGAGGCTAAATAGATTAGTTATATTGTGAGAAATACTTATTAGGAGAAATTAATTATATAAAAATTATTACTAACTTTGCATCTTAAAAAAATCTAGATAATAAATTTTAAATAAAATAATAATAATTTGTTTAAAATAAATAAATTAAAGCCCCTCGTAAAGTTTGCTTTAGGCTACAAAATTTGTCGGGTCGGCCCTGATCGCCTGCCTCATCCGATAATAAAAATACTTTTGTAAAAACTCCATTCCAACATCAATTGGACTTTGCATTTGATGTTGTTTTATTTGAACATTTAATTTATTAATGTCTTCCGCTTGTAGAAGGACAGAAAACACAAAAGAGACTCCAAACAAGAACATAGATTAAATACATTTGGTGAACTCTTGCAAGAAAAAATGACAAGAAAATCAAGCAAATAAAGGGGTTTGATTAGTAAAACTAGTTGTGCCAGTTGATCTAAGTGGAGGAACAGGAGGTCTATTATTATTCCCAAGAAAGCTACCATTTCTCCTTGCCCTAAGTGATGAATATGACCCTCTTCTGTTTGTTTTCTTTGTAGGAGGAGACTGGTAATGATCTGATTTAAAACCTTCCAAAAATACTCCATAGCTTTTGCATGATTTGAGCTTTTTGTTGTATAGGTTCTCAGGTTTGGCCAAGTCCTCTAAGCTACTCACATTTGATAAAGAGGTGAATGATTGTGATTTTCCATTGTAATGCTTTGACAAGCCTCTCCTATTTAACCAGAACAACAATTAGCATCTCCGTAAAATATATGAGAAAAATATTTAAAAGGATTTAGGTTATATAGTTGACCGTTCAAGAAAAAATTATACAACAGGTTGAATACAAGTAGGGATGGCAATTGGGTGGGGCGAGGCAGGGAGGGAAAACTCTTAATGGGGCGGGGCAGGACAGGGCAAAATCTAAATGGGACAGGGCAAGGCAGGTCAAAATTTTATTTTTAAAATTTTTTAATAGGACAGGGCAGGGCAGGGGCAAATTCCAAGTTAATTGGGTCAGGTTATTTTTGTTCTTTTTCCCCAATTCCTACTGTTAATATACGCATTAAAATGTGTTTCATGTATAAGCTCAGGTGCTGTAGAGTTCACCTTTCCAATTGTTTTCTACTAATTATTAAAAAATATTTCTTTTTTAATTATCTCCCAGAAAGAAGTTCAATGACTGATGTTTATAATTAAAACTCGTTACAGATAAAATGACTAGGATGAACTCTTGAAATGCCAAAATCGTTGATGTCCTCCAAACTGTAAGGAAATTTGTCATCATTTGATTGTCTTTGAATACAAATTATTTCATTAATTTGATTTGTAATCTCCAATATATATTTCATCAATATGTTCATATCGTTTTATTCACGAATGTTTTAATTTTTCAGTTCTCACCTTATTTCAAATATATCATAAAAATATGAGAAAATCTTCTTTTGATTTCCTTTTGCTCTAATAATCCCACATTTTCTGTAAAATCATATGTTTAAAAAAAATTAAATAGAATATTACAAAATAAAAAAATGAAAAAGAGTCTAAACGGGGCGGGGCGGGGCAAATTCTGAAAAAAATGCTAAATAGGGCAAGGCGAGGCGGGTTAAAAACTTAGTAGTCCAAAGCTTGCGCTGCCCTGCCCCACCCCAATTGCCATCCCTAAATACAACATATATGTATCAATGTCAAACAATTTGGAATAAGTTCTCATTAACCATGTCGTTCCGCATAAAACTATTCCAGCTATCTCTATTTATGTGGCATTTTTGTGTTTCGTGATTCAAACTTTTTAATTAATTTTGATTCTACATTTGGATATGCAATCTTTTAATTTTTTAAAAATAAATTTAATTAGTACAAACCACAGTAATTAAGAATTGAAATTATTTGAAAGACATGAAAATATTATGATCAAGGAATAACTCAATTTGATTCTTGAAATCTGAACATTATCAGATAAATTGAGACAGAGAACATTATATTAGATTAATATTATACAAATAAAAATAAATATAAAAAATACTACTACCAAATTTTTTTTTACTAATTGACGAATCTATGATAGAACTTAAAGAATCCTAAAAAAACATATGTCCTAAAATAGCCGTAGTAAAATCAGTATAACATAATCTCAACGCATACTCCCTTCGTTCATTTTTACTCGTACACACTTAAATTTTCATGTCCTTAAAAAATAATAACTATAATATATATTTTACCATATAATCCCTAATAATAATATCATTTCAAAAAAAAATTTAAAAAATAAATAGTTAATGATAAGAGTGACACAAGATTTTTTTTTTTATCATTCTCTTCATTTGCTAAAATAGACAAATAAACGTTAAAAATATATGTTTAGTACAATAAACAAGTAAAACTGTTCACGGTTCGGTTTGTGATTAAAACCGAAACCAAACCAATTTAATCGGTTTTTAGAATTTTAAAACCGAAACCAAACCAAATTAAATACAAACCATCGGTTTGATTGTTGTTGGTTTGGTTCGGTTTTTTGGTTCTTAGTAAGCTAATGATAAGTCGATAATAGTAAAACAACGCTAGACAACAATCTGAAAATAATTTGCTAAATTTATGCTTTTTTATATATTTCTTTCAGAACTGAAAGGTTATTTACCTGTTTATATGAAAAAAATGAACAAAAAACACACTAAAAGTTTGCTTTCTCAAGCTTTAGCCATTGTGGTCTTGCAATTTGAATTTGCTTTCTTTACTCTTGTGGTGATTTTTTTTTAACTATTCTGTTAGGCAAAAGTAGGTGCGGAGGGTTAGAGAATTATTATTTTGGGGTTAGACAATCTTTTAAGATATAAAAGGATAGAACCAAAATTCAAAATAACAATTAAATGCATAAATAATTATTTATAAAAAGATATTATATTGTATATAAATAATTATTAAATTTTGTATATAATTAGTCGGTTTGGTTCGTTTTTTTTTAAAATAGAACTAAAACCAAACCAAATATTATCGATTTTTAAAATTTAAAACCAATACCAATCCAAATCAAGAAAAATATCGGTTTACTTAATCGATTTGGTTCGATTTTCGGTTTGGATGGATTTTCCGCCAAACCGTGAACACCCCTAAGTAAAAGCAAACGGAGAGAATCTTACCTACTTTCCATTACTAAGCCCATTTATTATGGACGGTTGTGTTAACGTATACAAAAGTTAATCACTTAAAAAAATTAAATAAATAAGACCAATAAACAGTTCTTACTTGAAGGGAAGTTCTTGAAGAAGAGAGGACATATTTTGCAAAGCTCCCGATGTGCGCTCATGACCTGAACTACCAGAAGAATTAGGAGAAGTTGGATCCGAAGACGAAGATGAAGAATTCCCTTCTTCTCCCTCTTCTTCACCAAACAACTCGTCGTCGTCAGACGACGAGAAATTACTAGAAACTTCTGAGGAAGAATAAATACACAATGATTCTTGATTTTGCTCAACCATGATCCCATGGTTGTTTTGTTGGCTGAAAGAAACTGAACCCATTTTCAGACTCATCATCTAAGTAACAAAAATCCAACATACAGCTCTCAAAAAAAAGCCAAAAATACCCAATTAATTAGGTAAAGAGTTCTTTAAAATAAGGTTACAAAGTTGGGAATGTTGTGATATGAAAGTATGGGAAGAAGGAGAAAAAGGATAAGAAGAAAGGAACTATAAATATATTTATTCCTTTAAAATTTAATATTATCTGATAGGTATAAAAAAAAAGATTCGGCGTTATCCACTTTCTTTCTATTTTGGTGCCCCCGACCTAAGTGACCACTTGTCCCTACTGTACTATAAATGGAAAGATAATGGACTGCGAATTGCCTTGTACCCACCTTCATCCTTGGCGCGTGGTCGCCACTTTCTTTAACTTTTCCTTTTTTTGTTTGTCTTTTTCATTTAATTTACCTACTATATGCTTAATTTTTTCTTCTTTTTTTTGTTTATATTTGACATTGTGCATCCCTTTGAAGATTCAATTAATTCGGATTTTACGTTATATAAGATTTACTAAAAGTACTTTCTATAAAAAAAAATATTTCAAGGTTCAAACCCGTAAGCTCTACTTAAAGGTGGATTATTCATCTCACTGCAAAAGATATTTCTTTTTATTATATTATTTAGATTGAAAAATTGTTTTGAGATTAAAATAAATTGTGTGTTATGCACCTTTAGTGGGGGCGAGTGAGTCTTGAACTTTGGAAGATATTGAAATAATGGGTAAGGCTCTCCACTCAACTTGTTACCGCTAGTAGTTTTCCTCCTTCCAGGGGCTTTTCCCTTTTTGTTTCCTTGGGCGCTCATTGTTTCTTTTTTCTTTTTGATTATTCTTTTCCACCGTTCTTTTTTTCATATTTAATTTCTAATTTCTCTTGCTCTTTTTGCTTTTCCAAAAGTAATATTTTCTCGAAACTTCTACGTGGATATTTCACCTTTTCTCCTCTCTCCTTGAACATTTTAAAGGATTTTAAGGGTACGTTTGGCAATAAAAAATTTACTTTTCTCGATTTTTTTTTACTATTTTTTAAAGTTAATATTTGTTCATGAAATTTTTAATTTTCACTTGAAGATGAATTTTAAAATTTTTTCGAAAATATAAAAACTCCAAAAAAATATTTTCTAAAATTTTGAATTCAGATCAATCACAAAAATTCAAGAATAACCTAAAATTATATTCTTGTCCAAACATAACTCTAATTTTTTTTGTTGATACCTTACTTTATCCTCACTTAATTATTAATATGAGGTACAAAAACTTTAATTATGGTGGACCGAAAATCCGTACGGACATTGGGGACTTTTGCTAGTATTTGATAGTAAATCATACTATTAGGGATGGGAGACAATCAACACTCTACTTCATTAATTATAGTTGTATCTATCCTCACTTCTTGTTCCAATAGTTATCCATCCACATTAGAGAGAGGAGACGTTTCTTCTTTTTTGGTTTCTCGTCCGATATTCGGTACTTACATTGGGGCTCAATTAAATCCAAATTCGCGCTGAAAAGTCTCATATTGAGGGATAAAGTGTTCTCTAACAAAGGCAATTCCATACTCATGGGCTCGAACCACTCCACCACAACCCTTGTTGGTAGAGACATTTCTTCATAATAACACAATATAGTCCGTATATTTTTATAAGTGAGATCTCAGAAAGGAAAAAATGTACGCAGATCTTACTTTTATCTTATATTTTATGGGAAGGATATTTTTAGTGACGGAGTATATGTATCTCCATGCTCCTTCACCTTGGTCTTGTTTGGTGGAGGCCTTCTCGACCTTGAAGTCATCCCCGATAGAGCAACCCCCGGGTATGAAGCTTTTCATGGGAGGCTCTGGGGCTACCTCGAGAGCAACCACCTTGGCATCTGTGGTAGGATGGGAAGATGAAGGGGCAACCTGCTGAGGAATTGATTTGGAAGTTTTAGCCATCGTGACCTGGAAAGATATGAAAATTTGACGGGAAAGTATGAAGATTTGAAGGAAAAGTATGAAGGTTTGAAGAAACAAGTATTAAGGTTTAAAGAAAAGAGTATGAAGATTTGAAGGTGGGATGAAGATCTGGGCTAGAAATATAAGAACAAATATGGAGATTTGAAGGTCAGAGATTAAGGTATGAAGATTTGGAAAAGTTAAAAGCCGCTAGAAAATTCGAAGATAAAAGCTAGGATTGAAAAGTGAAAGAAGTATACTATTATTTGGACCATTACTTCTGCAGTCAGCTAGATACACCTATAATGCCTCATTCGTCGCTCCGCTCATTGCCAGAGTTGTTTGAGTGTGAGTTGCTGGACTCACTTATCCGAGTTACAACTTCTTCGGCCGATGGAAGACTCTAGTCTCGGCATGTTTAGGCATGATTTTATCACAGGTACTTCTTCATTTCTCTCTTATTTAGGTTTTCTTTATATAGATCAAGTTTACTAAAATAATTTACGCAAAAATAATACCTCACTCTAGTATTGCTTTCAAATGGAAAAAGATGCACACAACATGCACATGACTCATTTGTTAACTTCTTTAAGGACTAAAATCTCATATTTATTTTATTGTTGTGAAAAAAACTCATCGACTAATATTAATCTCTCTAGTATGTACATAAATTCTCTTACTATAATATTCGTAATAAGATTTATTTACTTTGAAATATATCCATGCCCTTGTCGTGGAGGATGAGTTCATGTAGGTTTAATGTTTTCTCCTTTGGCTTGTGCGAAATTAGTTATTGGAAATATGAGTGTTCAATGTTACTATTATCCAACTAACTATTATTATCATTTTCTATTTTGTGAAATAGAAAATATCAGAACATAGCGTTTTAAATATTTTGTGCGTCATATTGCCGGTCACACTTAAACAAGTTACAATCTTGTAGGTGATTCCTATTACATTGAATGAGATCAATTTTGGAAAGGCACCAAAGTGGATTTCCCTTACTTATAGCTCCATGGTGCTATGAGGAGGTACTAGCACAAAAGCAGTAAACATGACAGCATCTCACAACTTTTGTTATGGTTGTAGATGGTCCTTTGCCAATAGTGGGTTTTGGCTTTGCCACTTCTTGTATTGTCTTTCTTTCTTAGTTACACCCCAAGTATTCTCATTAAGAAAAGGGCATATGGAGGAGGCAAAAGCGTCCCTTAAGATGTTGAGGAAATATGGAGTAGAAGCAGAGCTGTAGATGTTGGCAGGCATTATGGAAAATGAAGGCAAGAGGAAAAAGGAAGAAACTATCACACTCGCCCATTTTACTGCTTAACATAGTGGCTCAAATATTTCAACAAGTGTTAGGCTTAGATTCAATACTAATCTTTGGACCATTACTTCTGCAGTAGGCTAGATATACCTACAATATCTCCTTCGTTGCTCCGTTCATCGCTGGAGTTGTTCGACCTCGAGTTGTTGGACTCATTTATCCGAGTTACAGCTTCTTCGGCTGATAGAGGACTCTAGTCTCGGCATGTTTAGGCATGATTTTACCACAGGTACTTCTTCATTTCTCTCTTATTTAGGTTTTCTTTATATAGATCAAGTTTACTAAAATAATTTACGCAAAAATAATACCTCACCCAAGTATTACTTTCAGATGGAAAAAGATGCATATAACATGCACATGACTCATTTGTTAACTTCTTTAAGGACTAAATTTCATATTTATTTTATTGTTGTGAAAAAACCTCATCAAGTAACATTAATCTCTCTAGTATGCACAAAAATTCTCTTAATATAATATTCGTAATTATATTTATTTACTTTGAAATATATCCATGTCCTGGTCGTGGAGGATGTGCTAATGTAGGTTTACTCTTTTCACTTTTGGCTTGTGCCAAATTAGTTGCTGGAAATATGAGTATTCAAGGTTAGAATTATCCAACTAACTATTATTATCATTTTCTATGTTGTGAAATAGGAAATATCAGAATATATAGTTTTAAATCTTTTGTGCTTCGTATTGCAGGTCACACTTAAACAAGTTATAATCTTGTAGGCGATTCCCATTATATTGAGTGCGATCAATGTTGGAAAGGCACCAAATGAATTTTCCTTGCTTATAGCTCCATGGTGCTATGGGGAAGTACTAGCTCGAAAACAGTAAACATGGCAGCATCTCACAACTTCTGTTATGGTTGGAGATGGTCCTTTTCCTGTAGTGGGGTTTTGGCTTTGCCACTTCTTGTACTGTCTTTCTTTCTTAGTGAGACTCCTAGGTTTCTCATTGAGAGAGAGCGTATGATGGAGGCAAAAGCGTCCCTTAAGATGTTGAGGAAATTTGAAGCAGAAGTTGAGCTGTAGATGTTGGCAGACATGATGAAAAATTAAGGCAAGAGAAAAAGGAAGAAACTATCACACTCGCCCATTTTACTGCTAACCATAGTTGCTCAAACTTTCCAGCAAGTATTGGGCTTAGACTCAATACTATTATTTGGATCCTTACTTCTGCAGTCAGCTAGATACACCTATAATTCCTCCTTCGTCGCTCCACTCTTTGCCAGAGTTATTCGAGCTTGAATTGCTGGATTCACTTATCCGAGTTACAGCTTCTTCAGGCGACGGATGACTCTAGTCTCAGCATATTTAGGCATGATTTTAGCACAAAAACTTATTCATTTCTTTCTTATTTAGGTTTTCTTAATATAGATTAATTTTACTAAAATAATTTACGCAAAAATAATACCTCACCATCGTAATGCTTTCAGATGGAAAAAGATGCACATAACATGCACATGACTCATTTGTTAACTTATTTAAGGACTAAAATCTCATATTTATTTTATTGTTTTGAAAAAAATTCATCAAGTAACATTAATCTCTCTAGTATGCACATGAATTCTCTTAATATAATATTCTTAATAAAATTTATTTACTTTGAAATATACCCATGCCCCGGTCGTGGAGGATGAGTTGATGTAGGTTTAATCTTTTCTCCTCTGACTTGTGTGAAATTAGTTGCTGAAAATATGAATGTTCAAGGTTAGTATTATCCAACTGACCATTATTAGCATTTGCTATGTTGTGAAATAGGAAATATCAGAATATCTAGTTTTAAATCTTTTGTGCTTCATATTGCATGTCAAACTTAAAGAAGTTGCAATCTTGCAGGTGATTCCCTATTATATTGAGTGAGATCATTGTTGGAAAGTCACCAA